ATGTATGTATATGATATATGTTGTACATAGTACAAACAATTATCCCGCATAGGTAAGTTAAACATGGATCTCAGTACCGTAGACTTTCTCTCCAGATAATGTACTTGATCAGCGCACTAGACCCTTTTTTTAGATTTCGTTTTTATTCATTAATTTAATTTATTTTCTTATTTACTTGGTATCCCGAGAAAATACTAGAAAACTTAATTCTTACCTTGTCTGAGGTATTAGAAAATGAATGTTTTTCACGTTGATTTTGTTGTGTAACTCGTAGTGACGTTAATTCACAGTAAGAGTAATATTGATTCGGCTTTAGATACAACAATTCCCTCGTAGATTAAGTTCCGGCGCCTGAATTTCACCAATATTAATTTCAGAAATTCAATCTTTCAGTGACAGACGCTGTTGTGCGTTTTCTAAAGGGTTGCTGCCAAGACCCCCCCCCCCTCCCCTCTCCCCGACCAGCGAAATGGGTCCTGTAAAACGAAACACTAAAATCCGTTTCCGACGAAGCTGTAAAACTCACATTAGAATGTTTGCGAAGTCTTCAGGAGTTCAGGCTGATTGGGCCGCTGTTCCGGTTTTTTTCCTGCGCTTTTTTGGCTTCTTCGGATTATTTCTCGCCTCGGGTTTGTCTCCTTTTAAAGTCGCAGCCGCCCTCACGCTGCGGGGACGGAATAGCGCACGCACACACACACACACACACACACAACACACAACACACACCACACACACACACACACACACACACACACACACACACACACACACACACACACACACACACACACACACACACACACACACACACACACACACACACACACACACACACACACACACACACACACACACACACACACACACACACACACATTCATCCGTTCGTGCACCTGAACACCCGCCCTACACATCCAGACGATCCCTGAGCCCGCCCCCTTCGCCCCCAGAACGAGGAGAACTCCCGCCATGACGAGCAGATCCTGGTGGAGATCCTGGACGTGAACGACAACCCGCCGCTGCTGCAGCCCTACGACGGCGCCGTGGTGGAGAACGCCGAGCCCGCGCTCATCACCACCATCCAGGCCGTCGACAAGGACGCCACGGAGGCCTTCAGAAACGTAAGGAACGCCGACTTACGTTCAGTTCGCTGGCTTGGTTTGGCTTGGTCGGCTCGAACTGGCTTGACTGGGCCAGCTCAGTTGGCTTGAGGTACCTTGACCAGTTCGGGTTGGCTTGAGTTAGCTGGAGTTGAACTAGCCTTGGTTATAGCGTAGCTTTTGTTTTTGTTATTCAGTATTTAAGATTTTGCAGTGTCCTTTACCGACAGTAGGATCTTCCTGTACATCACTTACCCCCGCCCCCTTCCTTCCTTCACCTACCCCTTACCCCTCCCCCTCTTCTCACCCCCTCTGTCTCGCCCTTCCGCAGCTTGATTTCTCCTTCGACGAGGAGTCCGTGACGCAGGACGTCAAGGACAAGTTCCGGCTGAGGACCAACGGCGAGCTCAGCACCCTGATGAAGCTGGACAGGGAGAACGCGTCGCAGTACCGGGTTCCTGTCATAGTCACCGACGGAGAGCCCAGTGAGTAGGGGCGGGGAGGGAGGGGGTAGGGAGTGGATGAGAGCTGGTTGGAGGGAGGGAGGGAGGAGTGGAAGAGGGCTGGCAGAAGGGAGAGAGGGAGTGGAAGAGGGCTGGCAGAAGGAGGGAAGGGGGGAGGGAGTCGAGGAGGGCTGGCAGAAGAGAGAGAGGGGGAAGTGAGGGAGGCCTAGCGGGAGAGAGGGAGGGGAGTTGGGTGTAGAGGAGAAAGACTGACATGCATCTATTTTATTTATTTGTGCGTTCGTTTGTTGGTTTGTTAGTGTATATGCCCTACATGTTCGCCGAAATCTCAATTCAATAAGGAACTGCATGTCAGAGTCAAAACATAAAGCTTGCAATATTTAGGTTTTATTGCGGCGACAAAATGAAAGGGAACAGCGGACGCAACCCGTGAATAAACCAACAGATTAATTCCATTTCCATTTCGAACATGGGGAGTCTAGTCGGCCTAATGGGCTCAGAAGGAAAGACGGTTTGCTATCTGTCATCGTTCCTCCTCTTGTGGTTCTCTTATAAGGTAGTAAAAACCGTAGAAAAGAGAGAGAAATATATATATATATATATATATATATAATATATATATATATATATATATATATATATATATATATATATAATATATACATGAATGTACATTGTAGTATTCTTGATAAAATGGCGTGATGTACGATTTTGGGTTTTTTTATTCACTGTTTTTGGTAAATTGCATCTTTTATCACGTTTATGAATGAATGAGCTGCTCAGACAAATTGGTCGAAGGATCCCACACTAATTTGTTAATTTACTTATTTATGTCATTATGTATTTATGTGTATATTATGTATATATATATATATATATATATATATATATATATAATATATATATATATATATATATATATATATATATATATATATAATATATATATATATATATATATATTATATATATATATATATATATATATATATATATATATATATATATATATATATATATATATATATATATATATATATATATATATATATATATATATATATATATATATATATATATATATATATATATATATATATATATATATATATATATATATATATATATATATATATATATATATATATATATATATATATATATATATATATATATATATATATATATATATATATATATATATATATATATATATATATATATATATATATATATATATTATATATATATATATATATATATATATATATATATATATATATATATATATATATATATATATGTTTATTATGCCAGAACCATCGTATGATCGGATACATTTTGATTATTGTCGTCAGATACTTTATCATCATTAATCTTATTATGACAACCATTATCAATATCACCCTGTACGCAGTGCAATGTAGAAAACTACTAATTTCGTATTCCTTCCCCCCCTCCCTGCCTCCCCCTGCTTTCCTACCCCTCCCCTTTCCCCACCACCACTTCTCCTCCCTCCTTCCTCTCCACCCCCTTTCCCCCTTCCCCCAATCCCCCTTCCCATCCCTTCCCCCTTTCTCCATCCCTTCCTCCTTTCCCACCCTCTTCCCCTTCCCCACCCCTTCACCCCTTCCCCAACGACTATCCCTTTCCCACCCCTTCCTCCATCCCCTCCCCCTTCCCCACGACTTTCCCCTTTCCCACCCTTTCCCCTTCCCCATCCCTTCCTCCTTTCCCACCCCTTCCTTCTCCTCCTTTCCACCCCTTCCTTCTCCTCCTTACCCATCCCCTTCCCTTCCTCACCCTTCCCCCCTTCCCCCCAGGCCACGTCCGCCGCCGCACGTACTGGATCACGGTGCAGGACGTGAACGACGAGCCGCCCCGCTTCGACGTCAGCAGCGTGGTGGAGGTGGAGCTGCCGGAGCGCACGGAGGTCGGCAAGGACACGGGGATCAAGCTGGTGGTCCTCGATCCCGACGTCGGTGAGTCCCGAGGGCGGCCGGTTTAGGTTTAGGTTTGGGTTTGGGTTTAGGTTTGTTTGTTTATATGTGTTTTTTTGTTGTTGTTGTTTATTTTAGCGTTGTTTCTTTTTGGTGTTTATATGTGTTTGTTTTAATTGTTTTTATTTTTATTTTAGCTTAATGTTTCTTTTTTGGTGTTTATATGTGTTTGTTTTAATTGTTTTTATTTTTATTTTAGCTTAATGTTTCTTTTTTGGTGTGTGTGTGTGTGTGATGTGTGTGAGTGTCTGTGTGAGTGTGCAGTTTGTTTAGCGATCTCTTAAAGTGTTTTATTATTATTATTATTATTATTTTTTTTTTTTTTGCGTTATTTGTTAGTTGTGTATTAATCGTATTCTGTGATTTTTTTCTTGTTTTTCTTTTATGTATGTGGTTTGTGTTTCCTTGTGATTTTTGTGTGTGAATATTTGTGCGATTTCGTGTTTTCTGCACTTTTTGTTTATTTATTTATTTATCTTTTTGTGATCCGTTTTTTTCTGCCATTGTTTTCTCTAGATTTGCAACAGAGGAATGTGAAGGTTCTTGTTCTCATCATTCATGCTAATTACCACCACCATTCCACCATAACTGCCACAGCCACAGTACCACCTCATAACCACAGCACAGCCACAACCACCAAAATCACAACCACACACAAAAATCACCAAAATCACAACCACAGCCACAACCACCAAAATCACAACCACAACCACCAAAATCATCACAAAATAAACCACCAAAATCACAACCACAGCAGCACAGGCACAAAATCATAACCACAGCCACAGCAGCAAAATCACAACCACAGAATCATAACCACAGAGGCGCACAGCGACCAAAATCACAATCACAGCCACAACCACCAAAATCACAACCACAACCACCAAAATCATAACCACAGCCACAACTACAACCACCAAAATCACAACTACAACCACCAAATCACAATCACACCAAAACCACACCACCCAACCACAACCACCAAGACCACAACCACAACCATTTATAACCCCCGCTTCCCCCCCCTCCCCAGTCAACTACAACGAGTTCCAGATCGTGGAAGGCAACCAGTACCAGAAATTCCGGATCGACCCCACCACCGGGGACGTGTTGGTCAACCAGCTGCTGGACTACGACGCGCCGACCAACGACAGGAACGTAAGGAATCGTGCCTGGAATGGGGTGGGAATTTTGGTGGGAATTTCGGATTAGGAGAGGGGGGGGGGGGGGGATGTGTGGCTTTGGGTGGGAAGTTTGGTGGGAATTTCGGATTAGGGAGAGGGGGGGAGGGGGTGTTGGGTGGTTAGATAGGGTGGGACTTCAGGGGTTGGAGTAGGTGGGAATTTTTGATGGGGGATTTGAGGGGAATTTTTGGATTGGGTGGGAATTTCATGCTTGGATTGGGTGGGAATTTTATGCCTAGATTTGTTGGGAATTTCGTGTTTGGGTTGAGAAAAAAGAAATTCTGGTTAGAATGGAAATTAGGGTTAAGATTTTGTAGGAATTTAGTACTTTGTTTGGATGGGAATTTCACGCTAGGACTGGATGGGAATTTAGTGCTTGGATTGGGTAGGAATTTGAGGCTTGAATTTAGTAGGAATTCAATACTTGGAATGAGTGGGAATTTCATGCTAGGATTGGGTGGGAATTTAGTGCTTGGATTGGGTAGGAGTTTGAGGCTTGACTTTGGTAGGAATTTAATACTTGGCGTGGGTGGGAATTCAGTCCTTGGTTTGATTGGGAATTTCATGCTTAGATTTATGGGAAATTGAATGCTTCTTTTCCTCCTCCTCTTCCTCCTCCATCTCCTCCTTTTCTCCCCTCCTTTACCTCTTCTTCCTCCTCCTACCTTCCTTTTCCTCTATCTTCTCCGTCACTAACTTCCTAATCTCCCCATCCTTCCTGTACCTCCTCCTTCCTCTCTATCTTCAACACTACCATCTCCCTTTCTGCCTTTTCTTTCTTCTCCCCCACTCCTTTTCCCCCACTACCTCCCCTTCCTCTTATCTTCTTCTCCCCTTTCCTCCTCTCCCACTACTTCCCCATTTTGTACTCCTCCCTTCGTCCCATTCTTCCCCACCCTCCTCCCTCACTTCCCTCCTTCCTCCCCTTCTTCCCCTCCCTCCTCCCTTACTCCTCTGACGCTGTCCCACCTCTCCCGTTTCTCCCCCTACTCACCCTTCCTCTTCCCTCCCTCACTCCCCCTCAAACGTCATCCCTCCTCTCCCCTTTCTTCCTCCCTCCCTCACTTCCTCCCCTCTGACGCCGCCCCTCCTCTCCCCTTTCTTCCTCCCTCCCTCACTCCTCCCCCCTCTGACGCCGCAGCGCAGTTCACGATGAAGGTGCGGCTCTCGGACGGCGCCAACCAGCCCGCGGAGACGACCATCACGATCGCCGTCACCAACGACAACGACCAACAGCCCGTCTTCATCCCCAGCAACTACAACTTCACCATCACCGAGAACGTCAACTGCAGCATCCAGATCGGGAAGGTGAGGAGGTCGTCGGGTGGTCGTTGGGGGATCGCTGGGAGGGGGGGGGTAGAAGGTCGTTTGAGGTAGGACGCATCTAGAGTTGCAACATGGAGTTAATACGACTTTGAGTACATGTAGTTGGACCACCAAAGGGAATTATCAGATTTGATTATCATTGAGAGAAGATATTTGATGAATGAACGAATTTGTAATTTACACTAATTCCATAGAGTTTAATTTACCTTTTCTCCTCTGGATCGAGTTTGTAATTTACACTAAATCCATAGAGTGTAGTCTATCCTCTTCCCCGCTGAACGTGTTGAACGTGTCTCCCTTAGGTGACGGCCATTGACCCCGACCTCCCGAGCACCGCCGACCAGAACATCCAGTACTTCCTGTCGACGGACGATGAGAGGAACTTCACCATCGCGGAGAAAACGGGAGACCTCACTCTCAAGGGCGTGAGTATGGAGGGGAGACTACTCTGTTTTGGGCGAAAGCGGCGCTCGAGGACTGTATTGGCATGAAAGCGCAGCGTGTGAGGTTGAAGAGTGTTTGTGAGTTTGTAGAAGGGTTAGAGTGGTCATTGATTAGACGCCTTGAGAAAAGATCCTGAGAAAAAGGACAGTTTCCTGGCCTCCGCTTCGTCGGTTAATTCATCTGTGTGTTAAGAGAAAAAAAAAATCATTTACCCACACCACAACCACATCCACAACATACCACAACCCCAATCACAAACATAACCGCACCACAACCAAAATCACAACCACAAAAAACAGCCACAACCACAACCACCAAAATCACAATCACAACTACCACCACCAAAATCACAACCACAGCCGTTGTGGTTGTGATTTTGGTGATTCATGCATGTGTTAAAAAGAAATTTTCCCGTTGCTGTTTCTAAAGCCGAATGACCGACATCCCCGGTCTTCCTTCGGTCCCTAAGACCCGCTCCCTTCCCACCCCCAGTGCCTGGACCGCGAGGCCGCCACCCGGGGGACGATGACCCTCTATCCCTACGCCATGGACGAGGGCGGCAACGGGCTGGACGCCATCCCCGCCATGGTCACCATCAACATCAACGACATGAACGACAACCACCCGTATATTCAGAGCCCGGTGAGTGTCGTGGGCGTGGTGGGCGTGGGGGGAACTTGGCTCGTTTTTTTTTTTTTTTTTTTTTTTTCGTTTTTTGGTGATTTTGTCTTTTCTCCGTGACTCTTCTGTTACGGAATCTTCTGCTCATTTTTTCTTATCTCACTTCTTTCTCCCTCCTCCTACTCTCCCTCGCTTTCTTTGTCTGTCTTTCTCTCTTTCTTTCTCTCTCTCTCTCTCTTTCTTTCTTTCTTTCTTTTCTTTCTTTCTTTCTTTCTTTCTTTCTTTCTTTCTCTCTCTCTCTCTCTCTCTCTCTCTCTCTCTCTCTCTCTCTCTCTCTCTCTCTCTCTCCTCTCTCTCTCACTAGCTTCTCAATCTTCTCTCTCTCTCTATATATATATATATATATATATATTATATAATATATATATATATATATATATATATATATAATATATATATATATATATATATATATATATATATATATATATATATATATATTATATATATATATATATATATATATATCCCTCCCTCTCCCGCAGGACAACAGCTTCGCCGTGCTGATGGAGAACCGCGAGCCAGGGAGCCCCGGCCACAGGGTGGTGATCCAGCTGGACGACTGGGACAGCGACGAGAACGGCTGCCCCTGCACCCTCTCCTTCGACCAGAACACGCCCTCGGACATCATGCAGAAGTTCGACGTGACGGGAGGGTGAGTTTTCGAGGGAGAGCTTTGCGAGGGTGGCTGGAGTAAGAGGTGTGAGTTTTTGAAGGGTGGTTGAAGTAAAAGGAGTTTTTGATTGATTTTTTAGGCTGGTTGGAGTAGATTTTTTAAGGTTGGTTGGAGTAAAAGGAGTTTTTTTATGGTGGATGGAGTTAAGAGAATTTTTAAGGTTGGTTGGAGTAAAAGGAGTTTTTTTATGGTGGATGGAGTTAAGAGAATTTTTAAGGTTGGTTGGAGTAAAAGGAGTTTTTTATGGTGGATGGAGTTAAGAGAATTTTTAAGGTTGGTTGGAGTAAAAGGAGTTTTTAATTTCATTTTAGGGTGGACGGAGTAAAGGAAATTTTAAAGGGTGGGTGGAGCAAAGGGAGATTTTTAAGGGTGTTTGGGATCCTAGGAGGGGAGGAGTGTTACAGGTGGTAGGAGTGGCAATGAGTGACCTTTAAGAGAGAAAATAAAGTAACAGGAAGGTGAGTTTTAAGAATGCAAGAATAGGCAGATTAATTTTAAGGGTAAAGAAAGCGGCAAAATGATGAGTTTTAAGAATACACATATACGATGTTGCTGTAGGTGGAGGGGAAAGAACAACGAATCGAGGATTTTTTTTCGAATTGGACGAGGTTCCCTATCAGTGGTGTCTGATGATGAGGATTTGGTCCGACTCGAAACGTGGCGATTTATTATCCCCTTTGCCGGCACGTTGCTTGGCATTTTTGATGCGTGGTTTTGTTGTTATGGTCGCGTTTATTCTTGTTCTCCTTTCGTTATTTCCGTCTTATCCTCTTCCCTTTTTTGTTTCATTCTCTCTTCTGTCAATTCTTTTCTCACCCCCCCCCCACCTCCATCTAACCGCCCCCTACCCCTCTCCCCTTCCAGAGCCAGCTCCCAGTACGAGCTCAGCCCCAAGGTGGTGCTGGACCGCGAGCAGCAGAAGGTGTACCGCATCCCGTTCCGCACGAAGGACCGCTGGGGCGTCTCGGGCACTCGCATCCTCACCCTCGAGGTCGGCGACGAGAACGACTCCCCGATGACCGACGGCGAGAGCTCCATCAGCGTCTATAATTATCAGGTGCGCGCGGAGGGAGGGTGAGGTGGGGTCGGGGGTGTGGAGAAAAATGGGGGAGGAGAGATTGGGAAGAAAGGTGAGGAGGTGGAGGGGGGTAGGGTCAGTGGAGAGGGAGAGAGAGGGGGCAGGGTTGTGGGGAATGGGGGGAAGGGGTAGGGGTGGGGTTGTGGAGGGAGGTGGAGGGGGAGGGGGAGGGGAAGAGAGGGTAAGTGGAGAGGGAGAAAGAGTTGGGGGAGGGTTGTAGGAATGGGGGAAGGGGTAGGGGGTGGGGGTAAGTGGAGAGGGAGAGAGAGGGGGCAGGGTTGTGGGGAATGGGGGAAGGGGTAGGGGGGGGGCGTGGAGGGAGGTGGAGGGGGAGGGGAGGGGAAGAAAGGAAGGGAGAGTGGAGAGAGAGAGTTGGGGGAGGGTTGTGGGGAATGGGGGAAGGGTAGGGGTGGGGGTGTGGAGGGAGGTGGAGAAGGGAGGGTAAGTGGAGAGGGAGAGAGAGTTGGGGAGGGTTTTGGGGAATGGGGGAAGGGGTAGGGGGTGGGGGTAAGTGGAGAAGGAGAGAGAGGGGGCAGGGTTGAGGGGAATGGGGGGAAGGGGTAAGGGGTGGAGTGGGGAAGGGAGGAGGGAGAGGAGGTGGGGGAGGGCGAGAGGGAGAAGCAGAGGGAGTGGGCGTAGGATTGTGTTGGCTGATGATAAGATGATGAAATGATATTTGCATAGATAAAAGTAGCATATGCTTTTGCAGGGGATGGTCGGCATGTTTTTGCACTGAAATAGGAAAATGGAATAAATAAAATTCAATAAAAAAGTCGTTCTCACTCACCCACCCACTCACTCGCTCTATCTATCTATCTATCTATCTATCTATCCGCCTCAGGGTCAGTTTCCCGACATCGTGATCGGCTCCGTGCACGTCACCGACCTCGACGACCATGACGTCAACGACAAGATCTTCGAGCTGGACCCGTCCTCGCCCTCCGACGGGACGTTCTTTGACGTCAACCTCAACACGGGCAACATCACCATGAAGAAGGGCACGCCGGAGGGCACGCACACGCTCAGGGTCAAGGTAGGTTGGGCGCC